TCATCTGTATATATTGTGTGTGGCTTCCCGAGAAGCTTTTATATTAAGATCTTCGAGTGCATTTGAGTTGTGTTAAGTATTGTGTTATATTTGGTTTAGTTTAGATTATACCAAGTTGTACTAAGTTTAGATTGTATTATGTTGTGTTAAGATTGAGTTTAGTTTATATTATACTAACCCAATACTAAGTTTAGATTGTACTAAGTTGTACTAAGTTAAGATTAGACCAAGTTGTATCAAGTTGTACTAATGTGACAATACTAACCCAATCACTTATTGGTTGCTAAAAAGACATGCTAGTTATGTGCTTTGTGGTTTTTATTCATGTACTTTGGGTATTGGGCAGATCTGTAAATTAGATGGTTTTTATCTTCTTTCAATGTAAGATCCTATCAAATTGCGGTTTGATTGTCTCGGCTGGCAAGGTTCTTGGTTGGCTCTTCTATACAGTTAGTCTTGGACTGGTATTTTTGTTTCAATATATCTGGCTGTATATCAAAATGGGTTGGCGTTGCTTAGATATCGCCATATGAAAAGTTAATTTTGAAAGTTACATGGCTATCTACTGGCATAACAAGAAAGATATGCAGATGTTAGGATGGCGTCTGCAATTATACGCTGTTGTGTTGGTCTTTGGTTTAGTCTGGTGCTCAAATAAAGATAGTACTGGAGGGAATATGGCTATAGATGAGGCTTTGCGGAACATATTCGAAGTAGATGACCTAGCTAATATGTCCAATGATGCGCAGCAGTGGCTTAATGATAATATGATTACTTGTATCAATGGTGCTTATGTTATAAATGCACCAAATGCTAGTCTCAATATTTCTCTTGATCTTTGGAATAGCGATGCTACGTATTTGTCTGCTTTTATGAGTGTTTCTAAAGTTACTGCTTCTAGCGTTAAACTAGTTGGGCCCCTGCTTAAGATATACTACATCAATAAGCTGATGGTTTGTTTGTTAATGATAATAGATGTAGATGATATATACTTTAACATTACCAATCCTTTGGGTATTAATATTTCCCCGATCTCTATCTCTGTTCCGAATAGTGCGCAACGGTATCTACGCAATAAGAAACCAGTCCGGCTGATGGTTGTTGGTGATCATTTTGGTCTTTGCGCATTGTTAAGTCGAATTTACTACTATGCCCCGCTTAAAGCTCTACATATTATTACCAAAGATGGTGATATATGCTGGCCTTGGCCTATCCAATGGAGTGATTGCTATACAATTACTTTGACAGCAGACCATATTTGTGCTGCTCTTCTTAATACCTGGATAAACCCGTATAGTACGAATGTGTGTCAGACTCTTACTTTACAGAGGTATAGTACTCAGGATTTACAAGGCTCTCCCTACGAAATCTACGACCTAATGGATGAAGCAACTGGCCGGCTACTTTTCTGTATTCGTCGGAATCTCATAAGTACTTTGATTGTGGAGGACCAAACGTTCATTTATATGTGCCTAATGCTTCCGCCTAGCTTTGTTGTTAAGAGTAATCTTACTTTGATAATCGTTCGTTCAACAACTCAAATTGATATTATCAAGAACCAATGCATTATGGCAGTCATTGCTGACCTGGGCGAACACTGCCCTATGTTCACGTGCTGTCAACTAGAGAATCGATTAAACAATATCTGTTTTGAAGTGAAAGAAGCTCAATTAATCATTGGCCTGACCGTTTGTGACTCTGAACTGGCTCTTGATCCTAATACATCAAGCTCTAGTGATTGCAACTCCAATAATATTGAGGACTGGGTGTCTTTGTTAGTGCATGTTCCAGGATTGCTTAATATACCTGTCTGGGAGCAACCTAAACAGCATTTGGATATTAAATCGTGTCCAATCTACCATCTGTACACCTCCCTTGTCTTTCAATGGCCGGCTGGTGATATCAAGCCACTTTTTCAGCACAATATCTTAAAAGCAACTTATCCACATGGGATGAGCGATAAGCCTGAACTGAAGTATCAGTTGAATATTTTATGTCCAGTCTTTAGTCGTTGCGTGGATGATTGTAATGAACCCATAAATATATTCACCACAGCAATATCAATGATCGAAGAGATGATTGCTGGTATGGTAACACAACGTGTTTTGATATCCTATGCGGATTCGTGTCTTTTTGATAATCTTGGTAGCTTGTTTTGCTTTTTGGGAAATCTAACCAATAACGCCGAGATAATTTTTGATTCTATCACTGTTGTTATGCCAGCGGTTAAATCTTCGAATGTTATTAAAGCCCGTGTTGTATACTTTAAGAATTGTGGTGGAGATTTCATCTTGTCTTTCTTGTCAACCTGTGCCTTGCTGATTAAAGATGTATCTATTTACATTAGTGGTGATTATGACTCTTGGTCAAAACCTCTTGAAATGAATCTCGCCATGTGGAAAGATAGTAGAAGAACTGCCAGGATCTTTTATGATCTTTATGGCTATATCAAAAGTGATGCCTTTTGGAGTGGCTGTCAAGACACTATGCTGATGCCCATCAATCTATATTCCTCCAGTAACACACTAGTCCTTTCTCCTTCGGAATTGATTCATCTGTTGTGTTTGTTTGCGGACATCAACTCAGCCTGTAGCTATAATGACAATTCATGCAATCTTATATCTGTGTTTGGTGTTATAGCATTGTTCCTCAATAATCTTGCATTATCTCCTGATCCAAATATATTCCAGTACGTAGAAGAGTATAACAGTACTGTCGCAACGGAGCCAACCTCTGGGCTCTTTTGGCCGTTCAATTTTTGTTCTGTATCTCTGTACAGACACCATCCGACCGTTACTGACCATGATCTAGAGGCACTTTTAGCTGCTGTTCATACAGGGAAGTACGACCAAGATCTAATTACTAGGCTTTTCTTAGAGTACTCGGGTAATCTCATTATAAGTTGGCTAAAAGGATCTTTCAAACAGCTAAAGAGAATCCGTTGTCGTGGAATTTTAACAGACAACGTTGAATTGAATGACTGGATTGGCTGCCGCTCCTCTTATACTTATCTTTCTAGTATAAAAAGCAATGATATTAGTGATCTACTGTGTTTCGGCCCCACGCATGATGCTCTGCCGAGCATGTCTACCGTATTACTAACCATAGATGGCCAGATTGTTGATATCTTGGGGTTCAAAATTTTAGACACGCCAAACAGCCGGTTTTGTGTTGATATTCTTAACTATGGGTTCAGTCCCAATACTACACTGTACGGCGATCAATCTCCCCTGTCTACTGATCTCTTTTGTTTATCACAAGAGTTATTGGAAGAGTTGCTCAAAGAATTCGTTGTAAGTTCAGGCAACCCTACCTGCCAAGGTGAGAGAACAGTTCTGCCCCAAATAACGATGATTGACAAGTCTTCTGCAGTAATGTATTGCAGTCTATGTGCGCGGTCCTGCTCATCAACCCAGAGTTTCCCCAAAACATCTCCGATAGGGCCTATCTCAGTGCTAATTCTCAATTGCGCCGTTGCCCTTTGCCCCCGTTGCATATTCAACTTTGACTATGGCAGCTATAATCTCTACGCCCGGCCAATTACTCGATTTGATGTGTTTCAACCCAATCAATCCGAAGGGCCAACTTTAACGCGGGACTATTTCAGCCTCAAGGACATTTTACTACAAGCGTACAGCCAACTAAGTGATGCCGATCAAGAAACCCTTTTTAAGGTAGAGCTAAATCCAACACTAACCCAACACTAACACAATGCTAATTCAATACTAACCCAATAAACAATAAGCCAACCTAAGACATACAACATATAATCTTCTGCTGTTGTTTCTATCTAATCCATAGACTAACCCAATTTATACCTATCCTACAATTACACCACTCCGTCCTTATCAAACCATAAATATCGTATTTTGATTTATTCCAGGGGTTATATCCATTTGTTCGAATCACAGTAAGTGGTTCCATCTTTCAATTATTCCTTCTAAACTAATTCAGCCCTAAACCAACTTAGTCGTAAACCAACTCAAGAACTAAAACCAAATTCTATCCCAATCATTTGCCAAAAAGGAAGACTATATGTTTTGTTTTAAGTCATAGTCTAGCTGCTATTAACTCAGCAGTCAAAACACCACTCTAGACCCAAATACATAAGCACAGGGCTTTAGACTACTACACTTCCAAACCCAGTAGATTCAGCACCTAGCACCCACGAATCAAGATAGCACTAGTCTCAATCTTAAAAACAACTATCTCATTAAACAATCATAAACCACTCCTCTAATAAAACGGCTTTAACCACAGTACCAAAGTTCACTATCACTTAATAACAGCCAACCCAAACCCAATTAAGATTTATTAGTACATTCAATAATGTAGACAGCGATATGACGTCATACCCAAATTTTAATAATCCAGCTACTATTGGGTTAGTTTGGGTTAAGTTTGATATAATTCGAATTCTCTACTAACTCAACCACAACCTAATACTAATGCAATCAACAATGAATAAACGATTTGGTGTAAGGATGGAGTAGTGCTTGTGTAACGACATTAAACCACCAACTTTAACCCACCCCACAGATAAACCAAACCCAATCTCCAACAAACACTAACATAACACTAACATCCATATCTAAATCTTATCTCAACATAATAACAACATAACTCAACTCAACTCAAACTAACACAACTCAACCCCACCATAACACCACACGACCCCACAATAACACACCACAACACACCATAACACAACTCAATACAATCATAACATAACATAACTCAACTCATACTAATACTAACCAATCCATTTTTTTGTTTACTATGAACAGTGATACTTCCTCTCCTTCTCATTCCCATCTAATTCTAACTAGTCCAGATGCCTTTGCTACTATTCGCCAAGAAGTCTCTGAGGCAATTCACCGTAATGATGCGCCTTATATTCAGAATACTTTACACGTCATCGCCAATAGTAAAGATATTTCTAAAGCATCGGCAGCCATCTTCTTAAAGAATACTCTAGATTTAGTTGAGAAAGAAGGCTTAGATAAGCAAGAAGTGATTAAGTTACTTGATGAAATGATTGCCTGGGCTGAACAGAACAAAAGGAAGCTTTTAAGACTTGATTTCAAAATGCGCAAAGCTGAGACTCTTCTAGCCCTTAAGGAGTATAAAGAGTGCTTAGCTTTAATACTGGAAACAGCTAAGATTCTTAAGCAAGAAGATGATAAGTTAGGTTTAGTTAAGCTGTACTATCTAGAGAGTAAGGTTTACTATGAACTGAAGAATCTTCCTAGAGCTAAATCATCACTTACTCAGTCTAAGTCAACTTGTACTTTCGTTTACTGTCCTCCTTTCTTACAGGCTAAGATAGATTTACTTAATGGTGTTTACTTGGCCGATGAACGTGACTATAAAACAGCTACTTCGCATATTCTTGAAGCTTTAGAAGGGTTTTCAATGGTTCAGAATAAGGAGATGGCTGCTCAATGTGCGCGGTACTTGATTCTGATGAAAATCATGGAGAACAAGACTAGTGAGGCTAAGACTTTAATGGGGCATAAGTTAGTAGTGCCTTATCAAAAGGACGTGTGCATAGAAATGCTGGGTAAGATTAATGAGTGTGTGGCTGAACGTAATCTTAAAGATTGCAATGAGATTATTCAAACTAATATCAAAAGTATTTCACATGATCAATTTCTTATCAATCATTTGGTTTATCTCTGTGATACTTTGATTGATTCCAATATTCTTAAGATTATTGAGCCTTACTCTAATGTTAATGTTGAGTACATTGGTAATCAGCTTGGTTTTGATATGCCTACTATTGAGAATAGATTGCGCCGCATGATTCTTGATAGTCGGATAGATGGAACAATTGACCAGGAAACCATGTGTATTAGCATTAAGAGACAAGTTAAAGGCTGCCATAAGGAACAGGCTGAAATGGAGGACATACTTAATGTTCTTTCGGAGGCCACCAATACCATCTCGGCAACCAAATAAATGTCTGTACTTGGAATACTAACTATAATCTTACTTACACTTTTATATCTAATCTTTAACAGCACCCACATAAACCAGCACATCTTGTCCCATCTTATTTCAACCTAACACAATCTAACTTAACTTAACTCAACCTAACACAACCTAACTTAACTCTATCTAATCACATATTAATGATGATACTCAAAGATACTCAAAACGTTCTTGGGGTTAGTAGTTGCTTAGTAGTTAGTTGATGAGTTCAGAAGAAGTCAGGTTATGTAAGATTCCAAACTACCCAGTCATCGATGGGACAATAGATACCGATGGGAAGTATTCATAAGCCAAGAGGTTTAAGATTCATTGCTTCAATAAATTCATGGGCGTTTAGTATGATATGAATATATGTTGGTAGAACATTGATAGTTGCAAGAACTATTATCTCTTCCTAATAAGATAGTTACAATTTATTCTTGGACCCCGAAGATACTCTGTAACCAGTTAGTATCGTCGGTGGCAATATTGTGCAAAGTTACGGAAGCGTCCTGCCCCGGTTTAGTTTCGGGAGCGATGAAGGGGAAGGATGCCTCAATAAATTCAAAAGCCATGTTGCTTATTGGCTGTTTGAATAGATTGCGGATTTGGCGAGCAAGATCATTGACGCAACCATCGAACTGATGTATTTGGATTTTAAGAGTCTTGATGCCAAGGATCCAGGACAGCTTAGTTGGGTTGTTTTCAAGCCAACGGATAGTGGAAACAAAATCACCATTTAGCTGAAAGTCAAGTGTATCCTGTTGTCTGAAGAGTTTAATCCAAGCCTTTGATCTCACACTAGAAAAGGCTATGGGCTTGGTAGCGATCAGATCAATAAAGAAGTCGAATTTAAGCTCTTCAATAGGAACTTCCATGTTTTCAATATGATACATGATGTTGCGACGAATGTCTACGTCCTCTAGGAAGCTTTCTGTGTATTTGGCAAGATCAATAGCACATTTGATGTAGGTAGGGGCGCGAATGAACTTTAGAAGCTGCAGACTTTGGATGGGCTGGTTGCTAGGATAGTGAATTTGCAATCGGTGCATGTTAGGAATGATGCCTAAATGCATGTGCAGGAGACTGTTCTGTTGCATGCTTTGCTTTGGATCGTCAAAGTTGATACCGGTCCAGTTCTGAACTTTAACACTAAGCTTGCAAGGCATGTTGTAGTAGTAGAAGAAAGCAGTGACTACATAAATATCGATTGAGTCAAATATAACTTCCAGATCTTTCTCTACTCCGCCGAGCGAGGCGTAAGCTTTGTTAAGTTGGGTGTATATTTTAATGTCCGATCTGACAAATCTTATTCTGGCCAAGCCTCTAATTAGTGATAAAGCCCGAATAAGATTGGTTTCTTCTTGCCGATAGTTAGCCTGTAACTCCTGATGCTCTAGTGTGTATACTTGATAGATCGCATCAACAAAATCAATTTGTCGTAGATTAGGAAAGGAGCTCAAATAAACGGGTGGCTGGAAGAGAATCATTTTCCGGAATTCAATTCGACGAATGTTAGTGCACTTACTTAGTTCCTGAACCAGTTTTTGGCAAACAAGAGTGTAATTGGCACAGTCTTCTCCACTATCTTGATTCTGCCTGAAAAAGTTCCTTTCAACATCAAAGCTACTGGACGTCAGCACTACATACTGCAGATTAATTAACCGACAGAAATCAACAGGAATAGTCTGATATTTCATTAGAGCCAAATCAAAATCCAGGCGCCAACTCTCAATCATTTGCTCAATCTTAAACTTCACATGGTTCAGCGGCGGCGCAGTCGATATGGCTTGGTCACCCGATTTTATCTCTTCGACTGGTTTCTGCTCACTAACAAAATACTCTAATGGCATCTCCGGTGTATCCTTTGGTTGATTGAGTACACAGTCAAGCAAGAATTTCTGTAACTCGTTGCTTGATCTTTCAAAGATGCTTTTAGCTGTTTGGCCACTGAAGTAGAACTTATTCTTTACTTGTGGCATAACTTCGGCGTTTTGTCTTTCCACTACTTTGTATCTTCGTTGACAGTTATTAAACCCATTATTATGTATCTCTAACAAGTGATCTTTCCGTATTTCACGCTTTGGTCTTACAGTTGGACCTTTCAGAGCCCAGCATACATTTAGCAGACCCAGTATCATGAAACCCCAGACCACAATCACTTTCTCACCCACTTCAGGATAGCGCATTGACAAAGATTCGTTCTTTGCTTTTATTCTCCAACGACCCAATCATCTGGTTCCGCCAACTAACCAACCACATTAACATAACTCAATACAACATAACACAACACAACTCAATACAACCCAACCCAACCCAACTCAATACAATCTAATCTAAACCAAACTGGATCTCTTTATTATTCTCGTAAGACCAACTTTAACAGCCAGACAGGATCGTACTTGTCATAGCTTTGCTGTAAATACTTCCTTACTATTGGCCAAAACATTCTAATTCGCACCATCATCTCCAACTCACACTTCCCAATTAGGTCATTCCGCAACAATTTCCGGACCAGATTTATTGTTTCTTCTTTCTGCGCCATCTTCATCCATGGTCTACTCTCGACTAGATAAGCACCACAAAAGATCTGTCATTATCGGCCAAGTCACTCAAATAGAACCACATGTCATTCTTAAATATCAAAACCAAACAAAACACCTCGTTATCTCAACACCTGTCACCTTCCAAATTAACCAATGGATCAGAGCATTCGGAGTATCTAAAGGCCAACTTTACTTTGCCGATGCCTACCACCCCATTCAACCCCAAGATATCTCTTTATTCTTCTCTTTTCGGCAACGAATTAGACAATTCTACCGAGAAATAGACTAATTGCCATTTTAAAAATTGAATGAACAATCCACTCAACCTTGACATTCGCCAACAAGCTTTTCAGCTCGGCAGCTCCTATATCAACAAAACAATCTCCACTAACCGGTTTGAGTCTCTCCGCCGCTACTTTCAAATTGACAATATCTATCTAATCAAAAAACTGCTATTAATCCTCTATCCATACAGCCACAACGCCTGGGCAGCCACCACCACCCGTGACTCAATGAATGCAGCAATCTATACCCCTGATCTGTACATTCCCTTGATGGCTGCAGTCACTTACATTCTCTTTTTAGCCGGTGAATTAGAAATTCAGAATAAGTTCAAACCCGAGATTCTGGGCAAACTAACCTCTAAAGCCATCATCCTGGACTTCTTAGAAGTAGTTCTGGTGAAGGGAATGAGCTTCTTCTTTGAAGCACGAGATATGGAATTCTTAGACATTTTATCCTTTGTGGGGTATAAGTACGTACCACTCGTTATTATGAAGACGTGCGCACTCTTTCTGAATGCTTTACTGCGTAAGTTAGTTTGGGTAGCTCTTTTGGCATCGTTTATTCTATTTCATGGGAAGTCTTTAAAGTACTTTTTGATATCAGACAATGCCGTTATAGATGTTAAGAAGAAGCGCATGTACTTTCTAGTTATTGCAGTAATGATTGATCTACTTATTATGGTGATATTGAAATGACAATAAATGTTTATTTTTGGCATAGCTAATATGACGCATACATTGTATTTCGGATGGATTTTGGTTTTGATGGGCGGGGTTTTTGGGGCTACTGTATATTACGATAACTTAAGGGCACGGGAATTGATTGCTGCTTTATGTTCGAATGATAAGTTTTCCAAAACTAATGTTCCTATTAGCTATGTATGTCCGAGTACAATCAGATCACAATTGGCTTCATGTGGACCCCATTGCCAGCTGAGTGATAGTGAGGGTCGATCTAGTAATGGGCTGGATAACTTTCAGGCGGATGTTGGTGAACACTTTACTCTCTTTGAAGAGGCTAGTCAGAAACAGATGTACATAAGTCTTGATTTGAAGAAGATCATTGAGCGATATACAGGATACAAAGAAGGATGGGTAGTTTGGGGGAAGATGTATGAAGTTGTTCGTGATGATCCGGTATTGCGGATGGCCGTGAGTGGAGTGCACTGCTCGGTGACTATTCATAAATGCGCCTTCTATAATGTGGATCCTAGTTCGCGTAAGCTGTTTATGAACTATGCGATGATGGGCCAGCAGGTGCGGCCGGAGTACTTGCATAATTTGAAATCGACCTTGGACTTGTTACTATCACTGCTGCCCCAGTGTATTGGGTACATGGAGATGGTGGCTCAGGGCGATCCGGGGGCCATGATATTGTGTCAGGAGTTGAGAAGAGCTCTTCCAGATGTTCGGTATAACTATGATCAATATCCGGTTGATCAACGGACTGTGGAGCGAGCGGAGGCCTTATCGGATCTGATTGGGTGTGTGCGATGCATGCGATGTAAAGTCTGGGGGAAGGTGCAATTTGAAGGGCTTAAATGTGCCATTCTGTTGATGTTACAGTCACGAAATGAGCAGGCAAGGGTTTCGGCTACAGATATTGTTTATTTGGTCAATTTAATCAATAAGATGTCTACAGCAGCTATTCAGTTCAACCGCTATCTGGCGCAGGTCCTGGAAAAGAAAGCCAATCAAGTGCGAAAACAGGAGAAAATAAGAGCAATTGTAGATGGTACATACTCAGCTCTAAGTGTTCCTTTGTTGTTTCCTCGCAAAGATCTAGTCAAAAGACGACACTAACAATAAAGATGTGTATTTTGGTTAATATTCAGTTTGTATTGTGTTGGTATTTGGTTAGTATTGTGTTGGTATTCGGTTGGTATTCAGTTTGTATTCGGTTAGTATTGTGTTGGTGATTATATTAAGATATGATTAGTGTTTATATTAAAATGTGATTTAATGACTAGATAGTTGAAGTACAGGTAGAGTGCTTGGTTCGTCTTGGATAGTACTGAAATGGGTGCGGATAGGGCCTAGATGCTTAGTTAGTCCGTGGTGGGAGAGTATAGTCCGAGGGTGGAGGCAGGTCGGATTAATGGTAGGCGGGTGGTTGTTCATCGTCGGTTGGGTGGGTAGGCGTGGAAGAAGGGTGTCTGGAGCTTTCATAAGCTGGGGGTGGAGTGCCATGGTATGGCGGGGGCGAACCAGAAAGTTTTAAGTCATTGTATGATGGTAGAATGGTTGATCCGGGGATCGGGTGGGCTTTTAAGTACTCAACAACATTGCTTATATCATCAGATGTTCGTGGAAGGAGCAATAACCTCTCGTGATTGCCTTCATCTTTGCGGAAGCGCACTTGATCGGTAGGATCATTAGGAATTTCAAAGAATGGAATAGTCATCAAGTTGTAGACGTACAACTGGGTTTGAAGAGCGGTCATTGTATTGTTCAGCCGACTTACTGCATCTGATTCCCTATTTTTAATAACAGTTTTAATCTGATCACTGCTATCACGAACAGAATTCAGCAAAAAGAGATACGGTCCCATGCGGTTGCTAATACCAATAGCAGCTAGCAAGTTCAAGGCATTTTCATGCTCAGCCTTCAAGGCCAAGTAGAGATCGAAGGAGTGGGGAGAAGTCTGGATGTAGGAAATGAGGTTTAACAGATTTTGGCCTAGAACATTGATTTTGAATAGAGTTTCTGGTGCTTTGTATTCTAGATCTGCTTTGACTGTGCCTATTAGATACTGTAACTTGGTGGCATAGTATGTGGTGATGTTAAGAGAGCGAAGTAAAACAATATCTTGTGGTGGATTATTCACTTCGTAGAACTTCTTCTCAACATAGTCTATAATCTGGAAGGAGATGTAAGTGATGAGCTTGTGGAAGGTACAGGCTACATCCGCTTTTTCTTTAGTGGCACCGGCCAGTACTTCTTTGAAAAGATAAGAGGGAGTATAGAACTTCTTCTGAAGTGCACTAGTTGGAGCAACCAGGCTTTTAACTGGCTGGCATTCAGGCTTATCAGTCGTATTTGACTTCGTTACTTTGTCTTTGGGCAAGCCTTCTAGGAGAGTTTCAAAGTCATGATTTCCACCAGAACAAATGCTACGGATTGTAAAGGACACAGAGGTCGCAAGATCTTCCACGGACTTAGAAGCAAACTCATTCAGGTCAACCTGGAACCAGCGCATTATTTCAGTAACAAGCTCGTATGACCATCCAGGCTGCTCCTCTTGATCCTCTAAGCACTCATTGGCCAGTAAGCAGCGTAAGTTCTGGAAGGTCAGAAGTACATCAAGTGCCTTTTTAGCATCATCATTAGCCTCAAGAATTGTAAGCTCTTGAAGGTTAGTGATGGGATCGAGCCATTGGGCAATAATCCGGTCTTCCACCGCGTCTAGTTTGTAGTAGTCAAGGAATGGTTTAAGAGTTTGAAAGTCCCCCATAGCTGTTAGCTGAGTAACTGACTCGATTATTTTATCAACCCAGTCAGATACATTGCGCTTTAGTCCGGCCTCAGATAATAACTTAGTCAGTTCAGTCTCGTACTTCGTAATCAAGTCGCAAGTCGCCGGATCTAGCACACCAGCCTGTAAAAGACTTCGAATCGATCTGGCGTGCTTAAAAGCCATCATTGGGCTTTCAGGCTGACTAGCTGATTGTTGGGAAATAGTCACCCAGTACTGTTTTCTTTCAGTTTGAGGTACTGGGTGGGCGAGAATAGTATCATTGTACCTGTTTGGCGAGTGCCGGTAGAATTTCTTCATATCTTTAAAGAGCTCTAATTTAGTCTGTAGTGAAACCAAAGACTCACGTTGCTGCATTCTATCCGGATCATTAATCAGTCGCTTACTACTTGTTATTGCCTTCAGTTCTTGCTGATTAATACTATCAATAAACCGTTTGATTATTTGGCCTATCTCTTCAGTCTTAGCATCAATACTCTCCAACAAAGAGTTAGTGTACTCCCTCAATTCAACTGAATTTAGTTGGTCGGGCAGGCCAATTAGATCTACATCTCCAAGTTGATTCTGTGGCTGTGAATAGTTGAATGCCTTGATATTATTCTGCAAGGTAGGCTGATTAATAACCGAACTCGCACTTATGAAACCGTTAAAAAGAACAAGAACAATCAGAAACAGAGATTGCATCACTCCGTTAGAAAAATATTAATTTAAATATCCTCCTATCTGATTTGCCAGTGAATATTTACCATATAAGGAAATTTTGCAAAATTTACCACCAACCCATCATAATCCACCATTTATTGTTATATCTCCTCCTATATCTCCTCCCATCTCCAACCAATCACAAACAACTCTAACATTAAAAACTCAAATTAACAACTAAACTAGTTTATTTCGCCGCTTCATACTGCTCAACCAAGTACAAGTTCCGTTTGTAATTTCTGACTACATCAGGAGCCACTAAACCCTTATCACAAATATAACTCATCGCCGCCTGAACATACTTCCTATTCTCAGGAACATACGCCAAAATATTAGTAGCTAGCTTAGCAAAAACCAATGCATCCCGCTTATCTTGCCACTCCCCAAGACTTTGGAGAACTAGAAAGTCAAATTGAGCCCCTTTAGCCACCAAGTACTTGTAGCAGTCCAGAACCGGAAAACGCACCGAATGCTTCTGCAACCACTCACTTAAAACAACTTCAGCATCGGCTACTCTAGCTTGAAATCCAGAACTCTTACTATTTATCCGCCCATCCTGAAGATCTTGCATAAGTCCCATCACCGCCTCATTCTTATCGAACTCAGCCATCTTCTTCTTTAGACCTTCCCAAGCTACTGTATCGTACGTAGTATACTTAGAAATATCTCTACTACTCGTTCGCTGCCCAAAGTTACGATTCAGAAACTCTTCAATCTCCTCAACATGTTCTTCACCTAAGCCGTGTTCTTTAGTAAACCCTTTGGCTACTTCATTAAAGTCATCCTTCTTATTAAATGATAGTTGCAACGTCCGATTACCCACCTCAATATTAATAGTATGGTCCTTTTTAGGCTTACTATCTATTTGATCACCAAAAAGCTCCCAGGTATCACCTTTCTTTTCAAAGACCTTCCCATCCACGACCTTATACTGTGGTTGTTGAGCTGGTGTACTATCAGTGGCACTAGCCGATACATTCTGGGTCTGACTTACTTGTAAACCTTCTAGCTGACTTTTAGCCTCTTCCTTACCCTCACTCCCAAACCGGTACAATCGGCCATCAGATCCACCTACCACTACTTTATCCTGGTACGCCTCGCCACACCAGCACGACAGAACCGGCAAAGTAATCGTATACAAATCCTCCAAATTACTATCTAAGACACGAACTACTCCTTCATCACCAAATACAGTATACTCACCCGTTTCAGCATTCCTTTTCACTCGAAAGCTAATCAAGTTCAAGTCTTTACGTATCAAGACTTTCCCAGATAATTCTGAAACTACTAAAACTCCATTATTAGATAAAGAAACAATTCGATCCGTCTCAACCACTAAATCTCGAATACAAGACTCATGCAATCTTAAACCTTTTACACCTACGTACTTACCATCTTTCCGTTCTAAGTACAACAAAGTTCCATCAGTACAGGCCGCCACCAAAGTATCCGACTGACCAACCAGCATCTCAACTGCCCAAAGAGTCTTTTCAGTCCGGATCTTCTCTACCAACTTCCCAGCCATCCAAATCCCAATTGTTCCATCCCAGGACGCACTCAATACCTTATCTCCAGCAATACGTAAAGAACAAACATTACTACTATGTGCTTGGCTCTTACCAAGTCGGACCAAAGAATCGCCCTCTCTTTTGAACCGCCAAACATATCCATCTTGTGCCCCGGCATAAAGAACGCCATCTAGATAACTTAGAGAATTCACAAAACAAAACAAGTCCTCAGATTTGCTCAATTCTTTAAAATCACCAAGTCTAACTAAACGGACAAAATGGTCGCGTCCAGAGGTAAACAGATAATTATTATCTCGCAGACAATCTTTAATATCTGAAAGGTGAATCTGGGCTAAAGTTTCGATTTCTGACATCCACAACAAAAAAATAGTTCGTAAATGAAACCAGCGATGCAACCAGCAGATGAAGGTAAAGAAGATAGTGGAATCATTCTAAGAGTCTTACAAAGTCGAGATTCAATGTTTCATAAGCTTTTACTTAGTACTTTAAATGTTATACTTTATAGATATACTGATAGTTGGAGTAGATTACCAGTAGAAGGAGCACTTTATGTTTATCAGAGAGAAGATACGCCGAGTTTAGGCTTGTTAGTACTGAATAGGAAGACACCAAGAGATTTTCATTTACTAGTAGATAGTGGGGTAGTTGGAGTTGAAGTTTTTGATCGGTTTATTATTATTAAAAGGGCGATTGGTTGGGAGATAGAGGTGTATGGTTTGTGGTTTTATGATAGCCAGGCGTCAATTGCTGCTTCGTTTATCATAGCAGATAAGGTTGAGTTGTTAAAAAAATCAAAAGATCTTTTGTTATCTTTACAAAGTTTAAGATAATAATGGGAGAATAAGGTAGGTGCTAATTGATATGATTTATAGATATAAGTCTTAGGACTAAGATATGTTTGTGATAGAACAGAGTAAGTGTTTAATTGCATAACTAATTGAGTAAATAGATATGGGTGTATTTAGTTTATGTTTAGATTAAGTTGGGTTTATGTTTAGATTGAGTTTGGTTTAGATTAGATTAGGTTAAGTTGTGGTTAGAGTTGTATTAGATTGTATTAGATCAAGTTAAGTTGAGATATAGTTTAGATAAAGTTATACTCAGTTGAGTTTATATAAAGTTATGTTGTATTAAGTTGTATTAGATTGTATTAGATTGTATTAAGTTGAGTTTAGATAAAGTTAAGCTTGGGTTGGTATTGGGTTGGGTTGAGTTTGGGATGGGATGGTATTGGATTTAGGAGTGCTTGGCTGGGGCTTTCCATTCACTGGCTAGGATTTCTTCGCCTTGGGTATTGAAGATGAGTGGCCAGTACTCACGACTGGCTGAGAGGATGTCACTTCTTTTGAAGCGATTTTGGAGCATGGGCAGACCTTGGATACGAGCATAGGCAATGTCACCCCTTTTCTCGCTTTTGAAATTCTTCCAGCGCTTGCCTTGAATGGCTGCTTGGAAGATAGGAATGTACTTGGGCTGTCTAAAGTTAATGAAGGCATAGCCGTTGTTACAATGGCTTTTGAAGTCCATGCGTAGATAGACAAAATCAAAAGAGTTGAAGCAAATGGAGGAAAGAATAACTACAAGTTGTTTGGAAGTAAGTTTGTTGGGAATGTTTTTGATCATACAGGTGGTGCGGGTGTCCAGACCGCGGATAATTCTTTCGGTTGAGATAACGTAGGGAGAGTATTCCGTGAATACTGGGGAAAAGAGATTGATTGGGCGCTCTTCATTTAAACTAGAAAATGGGCGTTGTGCATTGAAGATAGTGCCGACTGGTGCTAAGTACTTATCGGGTGTAGTGCAAAGACACATTTGTCTATCTAGAAGTTCATCTTCATAGATAGCAACTGGGTTATAGGTACTCTCTTGCACTAACATACAATCTATACCATTTATGTATTTAAATCCGTAAAAGGTCCATTTGACACCTGAAACTGGCTCTTTTTGTTCGATAACCCTGTGCCCACAAACAAAGCAACGACGGCAAGGAATAGAGCCAAGGAAGATCTTTTCCTGTAGAGGATGTCTAGATCCCGGAAAGTCAACTCTTTTCATAATCTCAGTCAGTCCTGGAGTTATAAAGGAATCTTATCAAATTATAGATAAGAATTGACTTAAGTTAGTATTGGGGTGGGGTGAGTTG